GTGTGTGTGTGTGCGTGTGCGTGCGTGCGTGTCTGTGTGTGTCTCAGTGTGAGTGTGAGTGTGCGTGTGCATGTGTGTGTGTGTGCATAAACCAGTCCAGTGCTCTGGGAGTCAAAATCCTAACGTTTGAGTCATTTCTAACTTCCTGTTGGCCACGAGGTCTCCGTCAGGTCATCGAGAGCCCAAAGAGTTTTACTCACAGTCCGTGAAAAAGGTAGTGTGTTAGTGTGCATGTGAACGGTGTGCATGTGAACGGTGTGCATGTGAACGGTGTGCATGTGAACGGTGTGCATGTAAACGGTGTGCATGTGAACGGTGTGCATGTAAACGGTGTGCATGTAAACGGTGTGCATGTAAACGGCGTTAAGGGGGCGGGACATCTCTAAGCTGGTTGACCAATCACAACAGAGCCGTCCAGCTAACTAATCAGATTGAATTAAGACATTTCTGTGACCGGCTTTTCATTGGCCTGTTCCTCCAGTCTCACTGTGAGCAAAAACAACAGTTCTAACGACATGATGTTTTATAACAACCTGTACTAATTAGTGACAGGCGGTTAACGATCTTTCTCTCTCTCTATCACACACACACACACACACACACACACATTTTAAACCACGTTACCGGTCTATGCTTCTGTCTGGCGCCGCCTCCCAGCTGTCAATCAAACATCCCCTCCCAGGTATGTGAAACTGTGTAAAGAGTGTTTATTTAATGTACAGTATGTGTGTGTGTGTGTGTGTGTGTGTGTGTGTGTGCGTGTGTGTGTGTGTGTGTGTGTGTGTGTGTGGACAGTAGCTGGCAGAGCTTCAGGTGTAATTCATCACAGATTAGTCATTACCTGCCACAGGTGTTAGTCACCACCCGACACTGCTGTTATTGTTGCTGCTGCACTTTTATATAACTTCATTTCAAACCACAACACACTCTTTATCTTGAAATATTGTTATTTAATCATTTATATAAAACCCATTTCTTTCACTAGCTGACTTTAAGCTCACCAGAATCACCACAATAATGAAGAAATTAAGTAAATAAACCATTAAAAACTGTTGGATAGAGCAGTATATTCAACCCAGTCTCACGGCATTTCGTGTTATAGTCAATTAATGTAATCTATTGATTCACCAACACGATTTCCCCCTTTGTTTGGTGTCACACAGAACGATTTAAAAAGCAATGTATTTCTATTGGTAGGATGTTTCGTGCCTGCACCACGTCTTTTTGTCCGGTCAGGTCTTGGAAGACCAGAAGCTGTGGGGTTCATAAAAACATGTTCTTACTCAATATCTTACCCTAACCCTTTTATTTTAAATTGTATGATGTCGGAAATTTTTTGCCGTCCGCGAGGAAAAGAAATGGCTCAGAGCCTCAGAATACTGACATCTGTATTTGTTTAAAGGGGACCTATCATGCAAAATGCACTTGTGTACGTCTTTTCTACATGAATGTGTCAGAAAACACAACCCTCTCTATTTTCCTCCATACCCAAATCTCTAAAAAAGGGGCTGCAACGGATCTGATAAAAACTGATCCAGATTTGAACACTGTCCTGACGTCAGGACGGTGGCGCTACGGCTATTGGGCCAACTCCACCAATCAGGAGGAGACAGCCACGGCCATTGCCGTTCGAAAGCGCTGGAGACGCTGTAGTACATATGCCAGGCCTGTAGGTGGTGCTGTTCTCACTGAATCAACCCTTGCTAAAACAGAGCTAACATTTTTCAAATTGAGCGAAATGAGGCATGGCTAAAATGCATGATCTGTTTGGTATTTTGAAAAAAAAAAAGTATAAATATGCCTTATATAGGTATGGTCCTACACTATATTATTCAAATATAGCATGATAGGTCCACTTTAAATCTTTTTTTCCTTCTAATTTGTTATTATTTACATTGCTTTAAAAATCGTTCTGTGTGACACGAAAACAATTGCGAAATCGTGTTGGTGAACACGAATCAATAGATTAATTTCGTGACCACGAAATGCCGTGAGACTAGGTTATATATATATATTATAGAAACCCTGTTTTCAGTCACTGTTAGCTTAAGTTAGCATTCATATGCAAATCATTCATCTAAAATGTACCTTTTTATTAAATATCTACATTAGCATTCACTATAGTAAAGACACATATTGTTAGCTCATGTCAGCTAACGTTAGCAGATAGTTGGCCCGAAGGAATTGAACCGGCGACCCATTGAATCCCAGTCCAAGTCTCTACTGACTGAGCCACTGCAGAACTATAACTCCATAATGTTAGCTCATAAGACACAAACAGTATCCGGGTTGATCTTTTTAAGCTAAATTAAACCTGCGTGTTGTCACTTAATGACACTTAATGACACTTAATGACAATGTCGCTAAGATGTTTAACTCCGCGGCCACATCCTCACCGACCTGCATGACTCCGGCCTGAGGGTCTTTCTGTTAAAACCCAAAACAGAGTCCAATTGATTGGATAAAAATAGTTAGCACACAGAGGGAAACTACGTTGATGCAGAAGCAGCCCCGAGGCGTCATGTGGTCTGTGGGAAGTCAGCGTTTGTTCCTCTGAAATCATGTGAAAGCTGAGGCGTTTCGTTCCCAAACCTCCTCTGAACTGTCGTCAGCAGGACGTCAGCCGCTCACTCCTGGAGCTGCAGGGCGCTTTCATACCCGACATAAAACCAACCAACGTTATGTGATTTTCACGACACAATCAAACCCACTGCTAGAAATAATCTGCACAGAAGTGAGAGGTTCAGGTGTAAAACAAGGGGTACAATGTTTAGTCTTTATCGCTCCATGATGTTTCTGTACATTTACACGTGATTCTAATCTCTTATTTTTGTAGAATTAACACAAGTGACCCCTGTGGTTCCTGGAGGTTCAACACTCTGATTGCAGACGGATTTAAATGAATTGTTTTTAATGGGTTTTAAACTCTGACTAACCCTCGTTATTGTCGGTATAATTCCCCAAAGATGGTGCCGTGTAAATGTTATTCTGTGGAGACATGTCTCTCAGGAGGAACAGATTTACAGCTCTGTTGACTTTGGCAACGCGCCGTGTTGGAGAAGCTGCTTAGTGACGATTAAAGGTGGGGTAGGTCATTTATTTCAGAAACACTTTTTGTTATATTCCATGGAATGCTCTTAACATCCCGATAGCAATGAATACATGAAGTGCTTTGACAATAAATACATAAATAAATATCATCTGTGGAAGCCGTGGCGCTGTAAAAAGCACGACCAATCATCTGCCTCGGCCCGGGTCAGATGACTGGATGGCCTACCTGCCTGTCAGCCTTCCATCTGTGCACAAACTTATCTCGTGCCCTCATTGGTCATGTGCGCGTTCGTGTGTGTTGGAGGAGGGGCTCTGTGAGGAAGTGGCAGATTTGTTCCGGCTGCGTATTTTCTAATTCTAGCGATCTCGAGCCGGTTTCTCAAACTTACCTACCCTACCTTTAAGTGAGAAAAGATCATCATTTTTTAAATGATTGCAAAAGAGACACTAAAATAGATGATAAATGAAGAACTAATAGATTCTGTATGACTAGAAATAGTACGTGTCTCCGTATAAATGCTGTTGGTTTATAATACCTTTACATTTCTGCGTTTGTAATGTGAAAAATACCGTTAGCATTACGTTAGGGAGGCTGTGGCGCAGTGGACTAGTGCATTGGTGTTGGGATCAGGGGAGCACAGGTTCAAACCCCACTGCAGTCAGCATGTCGTTGTGTCCCTGTGGCGCAGTGGACTGGAGCACAGGTTCAAACCCCACTGCAGTCAGCATGTCGTTGTGTCCCTGTGGCGCAGTGGACTGGAGCACAGGTTCAAACCCCACTGCAGTCAGCATGTCGTTGTGTCCCTGTGGCGCAGTGGACTGGAGCACAGGTTCAAACCCCACAGCAGTCAGCATGTCGTTGTGTCCCTGAGACACTTCACCCCAAATTGCTCCTGTGGGGATTGCCCACAGTATTGAGTATGTTAGTCGCTTTGGATAAAAGCGTCTAACAAGTAACATGTCATGTCAATTAGCATTAGCATTAGCAACAGCAAATCCTCGGTGGAGTAGAGAAATAAAATGTGGGTAAATAAATATTGATCAGAGTGTGTTTATTCCTTTTCAGTATGTACATATTGCACATGGCGGCACCTCAAACAATATAAATATACTGGAATATTATTAGATATTTTAATGACCATGTTAAACACCTTCAACAGCTGACGTCCAATCAGAGGCTTTGTCTGTTAAGTCCTCCGAGAGCGTCGGGAAAACGTCCGAAAGAAAAGCCCAGAAGAAGCCTCTGATGATAAAAGGGAGACATCCAACTCGGTTCAGCCGGAGAATAAATCCTGAAGCTTCGTTAGAAATCCTCTTTCCGTCCGACGAGCTTCCAGACGAGACGGAGAGCATCGACGAGCTTCCAGACGAGACGGAGAGCATCGACGAGCTTCCAGACGAGACGGAGAGCATCGACGAGCTTCCAGACGAGACGGAGAGCATCGACGAGCTTCCAGACGAGACGGAGAGCATCGAGCCACGAGGGAAACGCTTATATTTAACTACAAATGATTTAAGAAATGTATTTGAGCTCAGACAAAAAAGTACAGAAGTATAAAATAATTAAAAATATTCTTTAAATGAATTCTGACTTTTTATTTTCAGAATTATAAAATTAATAAATGTTTAACACTTGGCACGAATCCTCTCCCGTGTTCTAAACGTGTCCGTAGGCAGGGAGCAGAAATCAGCGCGTCCTATTGGCTGGTAGAAACAGCGCCGCCTCAGAGGAGTTCCTATTGGTCGGAGGGCTCTTCTTCTTCTCTTCACTGATTGGCCCTCACTTAGATCCCCATCAGGCGCTGCTAACAAGAGAAGAAACATGTCGTAAATAAATACGTCAAATAATTAAAAATAAAGAGAAAGGAAAACAAATCAATGAGTAAATAAAAAAATATAAAAATGTTAAGACAATACATTTTTTTTTAATAAACTATTAACACCAAACAGATCATTGCAGCATTACCCATAATCCCCTCTGTTTCAGCCCTGTTTCCAAAGTGCTGATTCTCTGTCTGTTACTTTAGATGAAAATAAGGAGCCCCTCCCCACGCCCCTCTGAGAGAGATTTGGTTACAAAGAACTCAATGGTGCTCTAGGAGGAGATTCACACCAACGCAACTCCGGTTCAAGCTCCGTGCTAGAGCTTTACAGGTTCAGAACCGGTTCTTCGGTTTAGCTCCGGCTCCGCCCAGAGTCCGACTGGTGCTGCGTCATTGCGTCATCGTTTGCGTCATGACGTAACCGTTTGCGTGCCTGCTTCATAAAGCCAAACCGCGCGGAAACCCCTCACAGCTCACACCGACAACAACAACAATGGCCGATTGTGTTGAAGCGCTACTCGTTTTGGTTTTGCTCTGTCGAAACGAAATGGAAGACGAGATGGTGGCTGGTCTCTGCTCTCATTCTCAGGTTTTTATAGAAATGGATCAAAAAGAGAGAGAATCTTTGTTCCTGAAACTTTCAGAGTCTCTTTCCACAGAGGGGACACATGTTGATGAAGAAGAGACATGAAGAAGAGGGGACACATGTTGATGAAGAAGAGACATGAAGAAGAGGGGACACATGTTGATGAAGAAGAGACATGAAGAAGAGGGGACACATGTTGATGAAGAAGAGACATGAAGAAGAGGGGACACATGTTGATGTAGAAGAGACATGAAGAAGAGGGGACACATGTTGATGAAGAAGAGACATGAAGAAGAGGGGACACATGTTGATGAAGAAGAGACATGAAGAAGAGGGGACACATGTTGATGAAGAAGAGACATGAAGAAGAGGGGACACATGTTGATGTAGAAGAGACATGAAGAAGAGGGGACACATGTTTGATAAGAAGAGACATGAAGAAGAGGGGACACATGTTGATGAAGAAGAGACATGAAGAAGAGGGGACACATGTTGATGAAGAAGAGACATGAAGAAGAGGGGACACATGTTGATGAAGAAGAGACATGAAGAAGAGGGGACACATGTTGATGAAGAAGAGACATGAAGAGGGAGGGACACATGTTGATGAAGAGAGAGACATGAAGAAGAGACATGAGATAAGAGGGGACACATGTTGATGAAGAAGAGACTGAAGAAGAGGGGACACATGTTGATGAAGAAGAGACATGAAGAATAGGGGACACATGTTGATGAAGAGAGACATGAAGAAGAGGGGACACATGTTGATGAAGAAGAGACATGAAGAAGAGAGGACACATGTTGATGAAGAAGAGACATGAAGAGAGGGGACACATGTTGATGTAGAAGAGACATGAAGAAGAGAGGACACAATGTTGATGTAGAAGAGACATGAAGAAGAGGGGACACATGTTGATGAAGAAGAGACATGAAGAATAGGGGGAGACACATGTTGATGAAGAAGAGACATGAAGAAGAGGGGACACATGTTGAATGAAGAAGAGACATGAAGAAGAGGGGACACATGTTGATGAAGAAGAGACATGAAGAAGAGGGGACACATGTTGATGTAGAAGAGACATGAAGAAGAGAGGACACATGTTGATGAAGAAGAGACATGAAGAATAGGGGACACATGTTGATGAAGAAGAGACATGAAGAAGAGGGAACACATGTTGATGAAGAAGAGACATGAAGAAGAGGGGACACATGTTGATGAAGAAGAGACATGAAGAAGAGGGGACACATGTTGATGAAGAAGAGACATGAAGAAGAGGGGACACATGTTGATGAAGAAGAGACATGAAGAAGAGGGGACACATGTTGATGAAGAAGAGACATGAAGAAGAGGGGACACATGTTGATGAAGAAGAGACATGAAGAAGAGGGGACACATGTTGATGTAGAAGAGACATGAAGAAGAGGGGACACATGTTGATGTAGAAGAGACATGAAGAAGAGGGGACACATGTTGATGTAGAAGAGACATGAAGAAGATGGGGACACATGTTGATGAAGAAGAGACATGAAGAAGAGGGGACACATGTTGATGTAGAAGAGACATGAAGAAGAGGGGACACATGTTGATGTAGAAGAGACATGAAGAAGAGGGGACACATGTTGATGTAGAAGAGACATGAAGAAGAGGGGACACATGTTGATGTAGAAGAGACATGAAGAAGAGGGGACACATGTTGATGAAGAAGAGACATGAAGAAGAGGGGACACATGTTGATGTAGAAGAGACATGAAGAAGAGGGGACACATGTTGATGTAGAAGAGACATGAAGAAGAGGGGACACATGTTGATGAAGAAGAGACATGAAGAAGAGGGGACACATGTTGATGTAGAAGAGACATGAAGAAGAGGGGACACATGTTGATGAAGAAGAGACATGAAGAAGAGGGGACACATGTTGATGTAGAAGAGACATGAAGAAGAGGGGACACATGTTGATGTAGAAGAGATATGAAGAAGAGGGGACACATGTTGATGAAGAAGAGACATGAAGAAGAGGGGACACATGTTGATGTAGAAGAGACATGAAGAAGAGGGGACACATGTTGATGAAGAAGAGACATGAAGAAGAGGGGACACATGTTGATGTAGAAGAGACATGAAGAAGAGGGGACACATGTTGATGTAGAAGAGACATGAAGAAGAGGGGACACATGTTGATGTAGAAGAGACATGAAGAAGAGGGGACACATGTTGATGTAGAAGAGATATGAAGAAGAGGGGACACATGTTGATGTAGAAGAGACATGAAGAAGAGGGGACACATGTTGATGTAGAAGAGACATGAAGAAGAGGGGACACATGTTGATGTAGAAGAGACATGAAGAAGAGGGGACACATGTTGATGTAGAAGAGACATGAAGAAGAGGATTTTGCAGAATAGGTCCCCTTTAAAACATGTTTCTCATGCTTCTATTCCTGCGTGTTGCCTTCAGGCTCTCTGTGTTGCCTTCAGGCTCTCTGTGTTGCCTTCAGGCTCTCTGTGTTTTCCACGCTGGAACAGAAAGTCCGATGTTGAGCTATTCTCCTGCAGAAATACCTCCAGATATGAATAACTCACCGTGTCATCTGTCTTTGCAGTGCGGGCTGTTGGCGAGGCGAGTCAGCAGACGGGCACATCGTTTATAATCTGGAAAATAAACATCATTTTTGTTAACGAGAGAGGAGCAAACGTCACGTGACCTGCAGACACACCTGATCCAGGACAACATCATGTGAACTTCCACGTCAGCAAGATCCAAGTTACAAATACAACAATTCATAATACAAATTCTCTATTTAAAGGAGAGGTGTCATGGCCATTTCCACTGATCATAACTCCATTGTTGAGGTATACTAGAATAGATTTATATTGTGCATTTCTCCAAACTCACATTGGTTTCTCAAACAGCATCTCTCCAAACTCACATTGGTTTCTCATACAGCATCTCTCCAAACTCACATTGGTTTCTCATACAGCATCTCTCCAAACTCACATTGGTTTCTCATACAGCATCTCTCCAAACTCACATTGGTTTCTCAAACAGCATCTCTCCAAACTCACATTGGTTTCTCAAACAGCATCTCTCCAAACTCACATTGGTTTCTCATACAGCATCTCTCCAAACTCACATTGGTTTCTCATACAGCATCTCTCCAAACTCACATTGGTTTCTCATACAGCATCTCTCCTAACTCACATTGGTTTCTCAAACAGCATCTCTCCAAACTCACATTGGTTTCTCATACAGCATCTCTCCAAACTCACATTGGTTTCTCATACAGCATCTCTCCAAACTCACATTGGTTTCTCAAACAGCATCTCTCCAAACTCACATTGGTTTCTCAAACAGCATCTCTCCAAACTCACATTGGTTTCTCAAACAGCATCTCTCCAAACTCACATTGGTTTCTCATACAGCATCTCTCCAAACTCACATTGGTATCTCATACAGCATCTCTCCAAACTCACATTGGTTTCTCATACAGCATCTCTCCTAACTCACATTGGTTTCTCATACAGCATCTCTCCAACTCACATTGGTTTCTCAACAGCATCTCTCCAAACTCACATTGGTTTCTCAAACAGCATCTCTCCAAACTCACATTGGTTTCTCATACAGCATCTCTCCAAACTCACATTGGTATCTCATACAGCATCTCTCCAAACTCACATTGGTTTCTCATACAGCATCTCTCCTAACTCACATTGGTTTCTCATACAGCATCTCTCCAAACTCACATTGGTTTCTCAAACAGCATCTCTCCAAACTCACATTGGTTTCTCATACAGCATCTCTCCAAACTCACATTGGTTTCTCATACAGCATCTCTCCAAACTCACATTGGTTTCTCATACAGCATCTCTCCAAACTCACATTGGTTTCTCAAACAGCATCTCTGTAAACTACGTGTATTCACTGAATTTCACTCTCTGCCTTTAACGGCTCGTTGTAGCTCCAATAGCTCCAGCCCCCACCCTCCCTGTGAGCACAGTGTGCTCTGATTGGTCGGGACGTTGTGAATCGCGCTGAGCTCCGTGGAGGTGTTGTTTCCTTGTTTAGGATACATAGCGAAACACAGCCAAACTCATCCTGAGCACACACAAAGTCACAGCCGAAGTAAAAACAATAAGTGTGTCTTGATATTGAGTAAGAAAAAGGTTGATAAATGCTGTGAGAATGGGTCTGCAGAGAGAATGGGTCTGCAGAGAGAATGGGTCTGCAGAGAGAATGGGTCTGCAGAGAGGATGGGTCTGCAGAGAGAATGGGTCTGCAGAGAGAATGGGTCTGCAGAGAGAATGGGTCTGCAGAGAGAATGGGTCTGCAGAGAGGATGGGTCTGCAGAGAGAATGGGTCTGCAGAGAGAATGGGTCTGCAGAGAGATCCCAACTGTCTGTTATCAGCCTGCAGCCAGGGAGGAGAAATCAGCTGAGCTGCCTGCTCCCTGCACACAGATGTGTGTGTGAGGAAGTCCGTGGATTGGCCAATTTGGACCAATCAGCGGGGACGTAACGTAACGGCTCCACGGACGTAACGGCTCCACGGATTGGTCCATTTCGTTCCGGGTACGGCTTGACATCATGCCGTACCCGGAAGAATCAAATGGACAATGACGTATCTCCAACGAGGCGTTTTGGGGAGGTCTTTTCTGTGTTAGAGTTTTACTCGCTACAGGGTGTACTTTGAGGGTTGTGACTCTGCACACCGTTTACATGCATAAAAACCTTCATAACACAAGGGGACGGGTAATAACCGGAAAAGCATGACACCTCTCCTTTAATTACAAATTATTCCATAGAAATAAACTGAATTTAATACAAGCTTTTTATGTCAAAAGAAATAAAGGAAATAAATAAAACAAAATGTTTTTAATGTGGTCTCTGCTTTTAACCCATCCTAGTGCCAGGAGTCTAGTACAAGGAGTCTAGCACCAGGAGTCTAGCACCAGGAGTCTAGAACCAGGAGTCTAGAACCAGGAGTCTAGCACCAGGAGTCTAGTGCTAGGAGTCTAGCACCAGGAGTCTAGTACCAGGAGTCTAGTACCAGGAGTCTAGTACCAGGAGTCTAGCACCAGGAGCAGTGGCCAGCTATACTAGGAGTCTAGTACCAGGAGGCTAGTACCAGGAGGCTAGAACTAGGAGTCTAGCACCAGGAGTCTAGTGCCAGGAGTCTAGTACCAGGAGTCTAGTGACAGGAGTCTAGTGACAGGAGTCTAGCACCAGGAGTCTAGCGCCAGGAGTCTAGTGCCAGGAGTCTAGCACCAGGAGTCTAACACCAGGAGTCTAGCACCAGGAGTCTAGTACCAGGAGTCTAGCAGCAGGAGTCTAGAGCCAGGAGTCTAGTGCCAGGAGTCTAGCACCAGGAGTCTAGCACCAGGAGTCTAGTACCAGGAGTCTAGCACCAGGAGTCTAGTACCAGGAGTCTAGCGCCAGGAGTCTAGCGCCAGTAGTCTAGCGCCAGGAGTCTAGTGCCAGGAGTCTAGCGCCAGGAGTCTAGTGCCAGGAGACTAGTACTAGGAGTCTAGTGCCAGGAGTCTAGCGCCAGGAGTCTAGCGCCAGGAGTCTAGCGCCAGGAGTCTAGTGCCAGGAGTCTAGCGCCAGGAGTCTAACACCAGGAGTCTAGCGCCAGGAGTCTAGCGCCAGGAGTCTAGCGCCAGGAGTCTAGTGCCAGGAGTCTAGTGCCAGGAGTCTAGCGCCAGGAGTCTAGTACCAGGAGTCTAGTGCCAGGAGACTAGTACCAGGAGTCTAGTACCAGGAGTCTAGTACCAGGAGTCTAGCACCAGGAGTCTAGCACCAGGAGTCTAGCACCAGGAGTCTAGTACCAGGAGTCTAGCACCAGAAGTCTAGCACCAGGAGTCTAGTGCCAGGAGTCTAGCACCAGGAGTCTAGTGCCAGGAGTCTAGCACTAGGAGTCTAGCGCCAGGAGTCTAGCACCAGGAGTCTAGCACCAGGAGTCTAGTACCAGGAGTCTAGCACCAGGAGTCTAGCACCAGGAGTCTAGTACCAGGAGTCTAGTACCAGGAGTCTAGTGCCAGGAGTCTAGCGCCAGGAGTCTAGCACCAGGAGTCTAGCACCAGGAGTCTAGCACCAGGAGTCTAGTACCAGGAGTCTAGTGCCAGGAGTCTAGCACCGGGAGTCTAGCACCAGGAGTCTAGTACCAGGAGTCTAGTACCAGGAGTCTAGTGCCAGGAGTCTAGCACCAGGAGTCTAGCACCAGGAGTCTAGTACCAGGAGTCTAGCACCAGGAGTCTAGCACCAGGAGTCTAGCACCAGGAGTCTAGCACCAGGAGTCTAGTACCAGGAGTCTAGCACCAGGAGTCTAGCACCAGGAGTCTAGAACCAGGAGTCTAGTACCAGGAGTCTAGTACCAGGAGTCTAGTGCCAGGAGTCTAGCACCAGGAGTCTAGCACCAGGAGTCTAGCACCAGGAGTCTAGAACCAGGAGTCTAGAACCAGGAGTCTGGTACCAGGAGTCTAGTACCAGGAGTCTAGCGCCAGGAGTCTAGCACCAGGAGTCTAGTACCAGGAGTCTAGCACCAGGAGTCTAGTACCAGGAGTCTAGCACCAGGAGTCTAGCACCAGGAGTCTAGCACCAGGAGTCTAGTACCAGGAGTCTAGTGCCAGGAGTCTAGCACCAGGAGTCTAGCACCAGGAGTCTAGCACCAGGAGTCTAGTACTAGGAGTCTAGCACCAGGAGTCTAGCACCAGGAGTCTAGCACCAGGAGTCTAGAACCAGGAGTCTAGTACCAGGAGTCTAGCACCAGGAGTCTAGTACCAGGAGTCTAGCACCAGGAGTCTAGCACCAGGAGTCTAGCACCAGGAGTCTAGCACCAGGAGTCTAGTACCAGGAGTCTAGCACCAGGAGTCTAGCACCAGGAGTCTAGTACCAGGAGTCTAGCACCAGGAGTCTAGCACCAGGAGTCTAGTACTAGGAGTCTAGCACCAGGAGTCTAGCACCAGGAGTCTAGTACCAGGAGTCTAGCACCAGGAGTCTAGCACCAGGAGTCTAGTACCAGGAGTCTAGCACCAGGAGTCTAGCACCAGGAGTCTAGTACTAGGAGTCTAGCACCAGGAGTCTAGCACCAGGAGTCTAGCACCAGGAGTCTAGAACCAGGAGTCTAGTACCAGGAGTCTAGTACCAGGAGTCTAGTGCCAGGAGTCTAGCGCCAGGAGTCTAGCGCCAGGAGTCTAGCACCAGGAGTCTAGCACCAGGAGTCTAGCACCAGGAGTCTAGGACCAGGAGTCTAGTACCAGGAGTCTAGAACCAGGAGTCTAGTACCAGGAGTCTAGCACCAGGAGTCTAGCACCAGGAGTCTAGAACCAGGAGTCTAGAACCAGGAGTCTAGTACCAGGAGTCTAGTACCAGGAGTCTAGCGCCAGGAGTCTAGCACCAGGAGTCTAGTACCAGGAGTCTAGCACCAGGAGTCTAGTACCAGGAGTCTAGCACCAGGAGTCTAGCACCAGGAGTCTAGCACCAGGAGTCTAGCACCAGGAGTCTAGCACCAGGAGTCTAGTACCAGGAGTCTAGTGCCAGGAGTCTAGCACCAGGAGTCTAGCACCAGGAGTCTAGCACCAGGAGTCTAGTACTAGGAGTCTAGCACCAGGAGTCTAGCACCAGGAGTCTAGCGCCAGGAGTCTAGTGCCAGGAGTCTAGTACCAGGAGTCTAGCACCAGGAGTCTAGTACCAGGAGTCTAGCACCAGGAGTCTAGCACCAGGAGTCTAGCACCAGGAGTCTAGCACCAGGAGTCTAGCACCAGGAGTCTAGTACCAGGAGTCTAGCACCAGGAGTCTAGCACCAGGAGTCTAGTACCAGGAGTCTAGCACCAGGAGTCTAGCACCAGGAGTCTAGTACTAGGAGTCTAGCACCAGGAGTCTAGCACCAGGAGTCTAGTACCAGGAGTCTAGCACCAGGAGTCTAGCACCAGGAGTCTAGTACCAGGAGTCTAGCACCAGGAGTCTAGCACCAGGAGTCTAGCACCAGGAGTCTAGCACCAGGAGTCTAGAACCAGGAGTCTAGTACCAGGAGTCTAGTACCAGGAGTCTAGTGCCAGGAGTCTAGCGCCAGGAGTCTAGCGCCAGGAGTCTAGCACCAGGAGTCTAGCACCAGGAGTCTAGCACCAGGAGTCTAGGACCAGGAGTCTAGTACCAGGAGTCTAGTACCAGGAGTCTAGTGCCAGGAGTCTAGCACCAGGAGTCTAGCACCAGGAGTCTAGCACCAGGAGTCTAGCACCAGGAGTCTAGCACCAGGAGTCTAGTACCAGGAGTCTAGCACCAGGAGTCTAGCACCAGGAGTCTAGTACCAGGAGTCTAGCACCAGGAGTCTAGCACCAGGAGTCTAGTACCAGGAGCAGTGGGCAGCTATTGTACAGCGCCCGGGGAGCAATGGGAGTGAGGGGGGAAGGGGGGTGTCCGGTGCCTTGCTCAAGGACACCACGGCAGGGCAGGAGGTGAACTGGGACCTCTCCAAGTAGCAGTCCACACTCCATATTTAGGTCTGCTCGGGGACTTATTGAATTATAAAGTAAATATGTGATTAAATGTTCCTGAAATCATATTAAAAACTACATGTTGGCATTTATTGTCTGATAATGTTTTAAATTTAGAGTTTTTTAGATTTAAATAAAATAAAATAAATAGGGTCTTTTAGCACTGTGAAGAACATATATATTTAAACTCTTATTTTAATCTAATTAAGTTATGTTCCATACATACAGCTCCCTTCAAGGTGGAGCTGCTGCAGGAGGGTGTTCCAGATCAAAGACAGGATGAGACTTGTTACACACACACACACACACACACACACACACACACACACACACACACACACACACACACACACACACACACACACACACACACACACACACACACACACACACACACACACACACACACACACACACACACACACTTTGTCCACATGTACTCTTACTCGCTCCAAGATAAACTGAATGCATGATTTGAAATAACAAGAACTGCTGTTGTGACACGATCAGACCGATAACAGAGTGTGTGTGTGTGTGTGTGTGTGTGTGTGTGTGTGTGTGTGTGTGTGTGTGTGTGTGTGTGTGTGTGCTCACAGGCAGGTATCGTGCAGTCTCTGGTGTTGTGGTACAGTCGGTGGAAATGTTTTCTGCACTTTGGGTTGAAGTGAAGTGGACCTGCGGAGGAAACACACCTTCAGAAACGCTGCGCTGTGATTGGACGGAACGCTGATCTCATTAAGCATCTCGTTAAAGACACAGAACACAATTACAGAATAACCAATTAACTAAAAAAACATCCTGGTGAATATGCAAAGCACATGGGACAGCAGGAATCTGTCTTTAAATAACCGTTATCAAGATGTGAAAGTCTTCTCTGTGACTGCAGGTGCCTCGCTACGGAGGCTCAGAGGGGACAAACACTCATGTGGAATACATAGGGAGTAATAACAAGGATTCAATAAAAATACAAAATAAAAATGTAAAAAAAATACATATTTGTTTATTAAATGAAGTATATATTTTGATATTTATTTAAAATAGATTTAAATATAATTACAATTTCTTTTATATTTTAAATATATTATTTTGTATTTAATTTTACGCTATATTAATTCAATAAAAAATCAATAAAGAAATAAATTATAATAAGATATAAATAAATTGATTAAAAAAAAAAAATTAATTAAAATATATAAATCAATCTTTATCTAAAAATAAATATATATTTTAAGATATTATTTTATTGTAATTCCCTACAGGTTTTATGTGTGTGTGTGTGTGTGTGTGTGTGTGTGTGTGTGTGTGTGTGTGTGTGTGTGTGTGTGTGTGTGTGTGTGTGTGTGTGTGTGTGTGTGTGTGTGTGTGTGTAAAGCTCTCACCTGTCAGGTGTTTGAGGAACTTCTCCTTCTGTCGAGGGTCTCTGGGATTTCCCTCTGGTAGAAAAACAAATGTAAACAATTATTACAACCAAGATATATTTATATACACTAAATAATTAAACAACCAAACTGGCCTTTAAATCTAAATAGAGTCACATAAATAAATCTATTTGAATCTGCTTCGGTTTCTTTGATGCTTTCTTCAAACGTTCCGTCAACGAGCCGGAGAATAATATTTAATCCTGATGTTGACATCTGTGCGCTCTAATGGAGCGTGCTGTGGAGGACCTGAAGTGAACCGTGGAGCCCTGCGCTCCTATTGGCTAGCGCTCCAACACATTGTACGTAATAGGCTAAGGGGCGGGACATCTCTAAGCGGTTGACCAATCACAACAGAGCCGGCCAGCTAACCAATCAGAGCAGCTCTGGTTTCAGACAGAGGGTGAACAGAGGAGCAGACAGGAAGAGAGACATAAAGAGCTTTCTGAACATATTTGTTATTTCAAATGTGTTGTTATAAATGATATTATGTGTATAAGTATTACAGGTGGTACTGACCCGGTCCCTGGGGGCTCCTCGCCCGGCTGAGCGCCCCCCCGTCCTCCACCCGGGTCCTGGACCCCCTGCCGAGCTGCAGGGCGCTGCGTCCATCAGAGAGCCCCTGGACCCCCTGGACCCCCAGCCGGGCTCCATGGAACCCCTGCTGTGCCCCCTGGACCCCCTGCTGGGCCTCTGACCCCCGAAGGAACCGGGCTGCGGAGCAGCGACCAGCGACCAAGAGGAGCAGGAGCCACGACAGGAGAAGGAGGCGCATCGCTGCTCCTGAGGAGAACAGCTGTTATGTATTTCTTATGGCATCGATGGGACTCCATACACAGACGGTGACTAATTGGACCTTAAAACCACATCGATGCACCCGAGGAGAAGACTCCAGAGCGTGGTTAATTGGTTAATTGGTTTCCTGAGCTCTAAAGCCACGCCCCTTCTGCTCGCAGCTCCAGGCAAGCTCTCTACTTTTAGTGATTATATAATACTGTAAACAACAAGTTTCTTTAGTTGAAATGTTCAAGTCTTTTTTCGAACCCTTTTGATCAGAAAATAGTTTTTCTAAAGAAACTTTAAACAGATGAATCTTTCCCAGAGATGCTTGAAGTGTTTTATTCAAGTTAGAGGATGAGATTTAAAACTAATAAACTTTAATAAATGTGAAGCACTTCCAAAGCTCAAAGCAGATTTCCTAAAAGTTGATGAAAGTGAAGAAAACGTCGCTTTAAGACTCTTTGAGAGTTCACTGATCATTACAGAATGCCTCCTTTGCGCATTCAAACACAAGCTGTGAGAAAACGTGCAATATAAAAAAGATCAGTCTCAGTGTCAGTAAGGAGCTCTGGAAGTTTCGTGGAGATGAATACAAGTGAAAGTTTCCACCTGCTCTCACCTGTGCGGTTCTCCAGCGGCTCGCTGCGCCTCTCCTCCCCGGGCAGAGCGCACTGTTCCCGGCTTCTCGCTCCCCGGCTCCCCGCTGAACGTCCGGATCTCGGAGGTGTCTGTCTGTGTTTCTTCTGCACGTTTAGGAGCTGTTATCCCGGGTTAAGGAGCTGCTATCCCGGGTTAAGGAGCTGTTATCCCGGGTTACTGTCGCTCCGAGCTGCGGGGTCCGGGCGCATCTTCCTCATCTTCAGAGCCTCCTCATCCTCCTGCAGCAGCTGCCACCGCGTGCATGCTGTCGCGCGGGTTAAAGTCCAATTACAGGAAGTGCACGAGGAGGAGGAGGGAGGAGGTGCGCGCGTGCACGTGCAAGATGACTTTTAACGTGCACTCGTACCAAAGGAGGAGCAGCACCCCCCCCCAGTGGAAATATTAATAACACATTATGTTGAATGGTTGTTTATAAATGTGGGAAAAATATATACAAATTAAAAATAAAGACAATAAATACAAATAAATACAAATAAATACAAATAAATACAAATAAATACAAATAAATCAAATGTACATGTAGCAGTTTAAATAAATAGAATAATAATTATAAGCATTTTTATTTTATATTTTCCAGATTTTGTCGGCAGCTAATTTACCCATTTCTTTGAAAAAATAATTCTAAATAAAAAAAACTTATATGCCAATTTTGTATATACATATAGTTGCATATAACTTACTCTATTATAAAATAAAATACTATAAATAATAGGAATAAGACTATTTTTTTAAATAAAGGGGACCTATCATGCAAAATGCACTTGTGTACGTCTTTTCTACATGAATATGTGTCCCCGGTGTTCCAGGGAACTCACCAAGTGTCAGAAAACACAACCCTCTCTATTTTCCTCCATACCCAAATCTCTAAAAAAGGGGCTGCAACGGATCTGATAAAAACTGATCCAGATTTGAACACTGTCCTGACGTCAGGACGGTGGCGCTACGGCTATTGGGCCAACTCCACCAATCAGGAGGAGACAGCCACGGCCATTGCCGTTTGAAAGCGCTGGAGACGCTGTAGTACATATGCCAGGCCAGTAGGTGGTGCTGTTCTCACTGAATCTGCCCAGAGCTAGAAATTGTCAAATTGAGCAAAATGAGGCATGGCTAAAATGCATGATCTGTTTGGTATTTTGAAAAAAAAAAAGTATAAATATGCCTTATATAGGTATGGTCCTACACTATATTATTCAAATATAGCATGATAGGTCCACTTTAAATAAAAACTCATGCAAAAGAAATTATAAAATAAAGGCAATTATATTTATATAATTATTTAATTATTTAAGTTCCATCCATCCATCCATCCATCCATCCATCTTCTCCCGCTTCTCCGTGGTCGGGTCGTGGAGGTATCAGTTCCAGCAGAGAGCCCCAAACGTTCCTTTCCCCTCATCAACCAGCTCTGACTGGGGGGTCCCAAGGCGCTCCCAGGCCAGCCAAGAGATATAATCCCTCCACCTGGTCCTAGGTCTACCCCTCGGTCTCTTCCCAGCTGGACGTGCCTGGAACACCTCCCTAGGGAGGCGCCCAGGTGGCATCCTTACTAGGTGCCCAAACCACCTCAACTGGCTCCTTTCGACGTGAAGGAGGAGTGGTTCAACTCCGAGTCCCTCCCGGATGACTTTTTTTTTTTTTAATTTTTTTAGCCTTTATTTATCCAGGTGAATCCCATTGAGATCATTGATCTCTTTTTCAAGGGAGACCTGCTCAAGTAGGTTCCACATGAAACATAAAAACATAAACAGAACAACAAAAAGGACATCATACAGCATCATTACAGGGATTACAGTTTACATAACTGTCCACATGAACAGGTTCCAACAGCTTCCGATTGAGTAGCATCCAACCGACCGACTGAACGTCTCACCTTATCCCTAAGGGAGACGCCAGCCACCCTGCGGAGAAAACCCATCTCGGCCGAGACCCTGAGATACTTGAACTCCTTCACTTGGGGTAAGGACTCATTCCCTACTTGGAGTGGACAGTCCATCGGTTTCCTGCTGAGAACCATGGCCTCAGATTTGGAGGTGCTGATCCTCATCCCAGCCGCTTCACACTCGGTTGCGAACCGATCCAGTGAGTGCTGAAGGTCGCAGACCGATGAAGCCATTAGAACCACATCATCTGCAAAAAGCAGTGGTGCAATCCTTAGTCCACCGAACTGCAGACCCCCTCCCCCATGACTACGCCTCAAAATCCTATCCATGTATATTACAAACAGGATTGGTGACAAAGCGCAGCCCTGGCGGAGGCCAACCCTCACCTGAAATGGGTCCGACTTCCTGCCGAGGACCCGGACACAGCTCTCGCTTTGGGAGTACAGAGATTGGATGGCCCTGAGTAGAGACCCCCTCACCCCATACTCCTGCAGCACCTCCCACAGTAACTCCCTGGGAACTCGGTCATACGCCTTCTCCAAGTCTACAAAACACATGTAGACCAGATAAGCATACTCCCAGGCCCCCTCCAGGATCCTGGGAGAGTAAAAAGCTGATCCGTCGTTCCACGACCAGGACGGAATCCGCATTGTTCCTCCTCAATCTGAGGTTCGACAATCGGCCTGACCCTCCTTTCGAGTACCTTAGAGTAAACTTTCCCGGAAAGGCTGATCCCCCTTTTTGAAAAGGGGAACCACCACCCCGGTCTGCCACTCCTTCGGTACTGTTTCCGTCTTCCACGCAACGTTGATGAGACGTGTCAACCATGACAGTCCCTCAACACCCAGAGCCTTCAGCATTTCTGGGCGGATCTCATCCACCCCCGGGGCTTTGCCACTGTGGAGTTGTCTGACGACCTCAGTGACCTCCCCCCGGGAGATTGGTGTTGATCCCCCGTCATACTCCAGCTCTGCCTCTACCATAGAGGGCGGAGTTGTCGGGTTCAGGAGTTCCTCAAAGTGTTCCTTCCAACGCCCTAACACTCCATCAGTTGAGGTCAACAGCGTCCCATCCTTACTGTACACAGCTTGGATGGTTCCCTGCTTCCCCCTCCTGAGGTGTCGGACAGTTTTCCAGAACAACTTTGGTGCCGCCCAAAAGTCCTTTTCCATGGCTTCTCCGAACTTCTCCCACGCCCGCTGCTTT